AGTCGAAGAAATTTGGCATCAAGCGGAAGGAAAAATTGTCTTGTCTCGCAGGAAGAGACCCAATTATCTCTGCAATTTCATCCTGGCCGCTCATTTTACAGCCCTTGTCTGGAAGGAGATATTGAGTTTCAGTGAGATCAAAGAAGGTCAGACGAATGAGACGGCATCTTTGTGGTTCATCACTGTAATTCTCTCCGTGATACTTCACCCGAGACGTACTTTTAACTCTAATTTAAAATGATCGAAGTGGTGATGAAAATTATTCTAATGATACGGCCCTGAAGTAGGATGACCGATAAAACCAAGTAACGCCAGAAATTACTAGTTATTAACTTTGTTATAGGTGGTGTTTTGCTCCAGTTTTCAGCTTATGTCAATAGTGGTGGGTACGAAAGCTGGTAATTACAGAGTCTACATTTTCCATCATGGCGCGGCATCCATCAATGTTCATTTAGATTGGTATCGATCCGTGTGGAATCCCATTGCAATGGTGATGCAGTGGTCGATTGTCGACGCCTGGCCCCCCGAGGCAGCCGGCTTTGAAGTTCAGACATATTTCAAAATAAATCACAGTCTTCTTGCTGATAGGTCGTTGCACACGGCGAAGAGGCCACATTTTAACCACATTTAAAGTGATCTAGTTTATTTAACGACGCCGGTTTGGTATCCCCTGGTGCAGATTATCACAACAAAATTCACCTTGATTGCAATATCATTGTAGATTCGATTAGATGTTATAAACTAATCTACGGCATCGCATAGAAGGTTTTATATGTATTTCTATAATCATTATGCAATTCACGTTGTGTAATTGACCTTCATGGTTTGGGGATTTAAGGACTTATTTTCCAGGAAAAAAAGGTATAAAAGAATTGAATGTTGTCAAGATTGAAGGAATGCCATTGACAGGATCAACAGCATGAAATGTTATAGATCAGAATTTACCCCTAATGGTCATAGAGTTTAATTTACCTGATAACTACCTATTTCATTTATTGATTTTCTTTGCTCTACCATAAATCTCTTGATACTAACTGAGCCCTGGCTTTTTACCTAAAGGTCCACATATCGTTGATACTCCATAAGAACTATGAACTGCATTTACACAAATTATATGGTTGAAGTTACGCGTGAGGCCCTTATCTCTAAACTAAAATAGTACTGTTCTGCTTGTGCATAGAAATATCGATTTGATTTACACGGCTGCTCCTTGGCGCTTACGACTATTTCGGTTATGATACTATGATTTAATAATCGAAGCAATGAAAATTCAGAGCGGCGCATAGTCGACCACCTGTAGTTAGATTTTCTGTTTTATGTTGAAGTTTATTGTTTGGTCTTTCACCCCTCGTCTCATGGTACATGTATATTAGCTTTGCGCATGCAGGCACTGTTGTTATCGTCCACTGCTTACGGAGGAATCGTGATGTGCAAAATAACGCTATCTGGCACAGGTCACAGTGGTAACACGAAGAGCAATTATATGTTAAAGTGATCAGTCATTCTCATGCACTAAGGGGATGTGCATGTAACCTCTGTACATATCCCTACAGAGGCGGTCTCCACCACGGTCGCCTTTTTGTCATTTCTGTAATACTTCTTCCCACTGTAATCCCTTGTAGAAATTGCCTATGACCTGATGGTTATTACACGACGTGCACTTGAAATATTGGCGTCTCCGGAGTAGGCGGGGTGGGGGTTGTAACACAATCTTCATTCTATCCTACCTCTGATGCATGTTAGAAATTGCACACGCGTATCCCTCTGCAGCTGCATGGAATTGTAACAAAATACAAATCAGAGCAAACTACATTGGCTTATGATTGCTGATATATCCTATTTCAAGGTACCAACTGTAACAACACCAATAAACCAATCCCTAAGTAAAGCCACAGATATTTGTTAAGCCCAGATTAAATATTTAGCATGCGTAAGATCTCTCTAATACTTATTAGAGGTGTTTATTGTCAGACTTATGTCATGTAATTCCCGGTTGACTGTCTGCCAGCGCCACCAAGTAATCCGCTGTGGCCATTAGACAACATAACTACGCCAACGCGGTAATGGAGTTGAGGAGGCGAATACACTACAGGAATCGAATCACAATTAGGAATCTCAATCTAGCTTACTGTGGTACTGAATCTGACCCTGTACTGACTTCGGTACAGGTCTCATGGTACTCTTTGTCACCACTGAGAATCTGAGGGCTTTGTAAGTCACTGAAACTTGTAAAATACTTTAGTCCCTTAAAAAAGGGTGCCTGGCATCACCCTTTGATAAATACGTCGTCACTACTATAAGTATACTATTCGCGGCGAATACACTACAGGAATTGAATCACAATTAGGAATCTCCATCTAGCTTACTGTGGTACTGAATCTGACCCTGTACTGACTTCAGTACAGGTCTCATGGTACTCTTTGTCACCACTGAGAATCTGAGGGCTTTGCAAGTCACTGAAACCAGTAAAATACTTTAATCCATAAAAAAGTGCCTGCCTTCACCCTTTGATAAATACGTCGTCATTACTATAATTAATACTGGTCGTGGCCATTCCTTGATGTACCGTTCTTTTACAGCTAAAAAGCTTAATTAAAGTTGCTTAGCACATACCATACCAAATAAATGTATTCAAAATATTAATTCATGGAATGTCAAAGGATAAAACTCTACTATATAAATCTATAATCTGCCTGATATATTTCTTGATTTATCGGTTTGTATGAGCTATACAGGGTTTACGGTTAATTCTGGAAAGCCAGATGCTGGGAGAAGGGTAAGTCTATTATGTACCGACATACCGTCTACTAGAATTAGATCGTTTTAATTTACCACCTGTGCCAAATTTCCATAAATTTATGACAAATGTGTACAAATTAAATCTAAAAATATTGCATTATGTTACCTGAGGCCAATCAGGATATTGAACATTAATGTAATTACAAAACAAGATAACTTAGACAGAGTTATATCTGCATAATTACGTGAACACCAGAGGATAGCTCATACAGTGAACAATCAATGTGCACCATGTACAGCGTAAATAATTACCTTAATCATTGCATTGGGGGAAAGGTATCTATAAAACATTCAGCCATAAGGTTATTTGAATTAAAGTTTGATTAACTGCAATCAATCGTTGACCCGTGTGGTATCAATTATAGTGTGAAGTAGAGCATGAAAGATGAATGATGCACTCGTGTATCAATTCAAATTCAACGTATGTCTAATCTAATTAATGATGATATCCAATGACAAATGATATGGTAGTCAATGAACTGCGTTATTTATGTTTTTAGGTTCTCTGCTGTCTCTGAACTATGTTAGTGTAAGGATAGAAATGTGTTTGTAATGTTTGTTTTGTATTCTACCCTTGATAAAGGTTGTATTCTACTCACATATTCATGAGGATGACTGCAGAACAACTGTGAAGGCTCAGGATGCCATTTTGACCAATGACACGTCTGAACAGGGGATATTTTGTCTAAATTAATTGCCCATTTCACCAGTGCAATTTTCCACTACCTCAACTGCCTTAACGAGATCGATTGGCGCACCTGATTGCATCACCAAACTGCACTGGAATCAATTGCGCCCATTGCCACTGTCTGTATGTGTGATGGAAGGGCTGGCTGGCTCCAATACCATTCTATAAAATTTATAGAGCAATGGATACACTATTAAATGGATATTGCATAAAACGGGTCAGTTCGTATAAGACGGCCGTAAAGAAAGAGGAGAGAGTTATGTGTTAGCTCTCCTTTCCCTCCAAACTCGATGAAAAGGGACTACATTGCTACAAGAATTAATGCTGGCATAGTGCTTGCTAAATGACATATCTTTTGTTATATTTTGCCTAGCAGTGTTATGAAACGTCGTATCATATATCCCTTTACTGATAATTGTCCAAAATAGGCTGATTGATGGTTGAAATTCTCCAAAGTAATGCCACACCTAGACATTCCGCCTTTTGGATACCAGCCAGTTTTCTGAAGAAAATTTACTTTTTCCTGTGTCAACTGAAGCCATGCGTGCCCGAAAAGACTAAAGTCTTTGTCAAACAGCTCGATAATGGCCTCCCATTCATCTTGTTTTATCACTTGATCTGGGCCTCCTCTACTAGGGTTTTGCCGTGGATTTCTAGGATAAAGTTTGATCGAAGTTTCCCCTCATACGTAATAGATATGAGCAGCAAGTAGGATACGGAGTGTCATGGTATAGCAAAATGCTCTCAAACGTTTTGTTTTTCGACAAAGTTGAAGCACTCAACTTTGTGTAATGCTATTTCCTTCGGTGGGAATAGCTACCAGTGACAACCGATTATTCTATCACTTGCAGTTTGTATATAATGTCCTTACAAAAAAGCAGCCATACGTAAAAGGGTAAACATATAAAGGCAATCTTCTAAGACTGGTAATTTCATGATCTGGAGTGTTCCTATCAGTAAACCGGCAAACCGTCTCCACCTTCCACAAGGCAATGAGTGTTGTAAACGAATTTGCCATTATAGATATCCGATAAGCCTTTTGATGTAATAACACATTGCTACCCCTAAGGAGAGGGAAAGGGTTCAATCCCTATTAGCCTATACCGTATACTTAAATTTGTATTCTACAGATTTTACATACATACAGACTATAGCATTTTCTGCACATCATTTCATCTCTAATTGTTACTTTAAATTTTTATGATGATATCAGAATCCAATTATTTACTATCGGGTCCAAAGTGGACCCTTACTTTCCCACTATTCCTTACCAGGAACAAAATGCTACTAAAATCAAAGACCCCGCCCATCATAGAAGAGGTGGTCAAATTCAAAAGAAGAAAATCATATCCCACAAAACTAGTACCAAATGTTGTAGAATGTATTTTTACGATACACGTTCTCTCTCTATGTATATATATATATATATATATTATTTTTTTCACACATGTTGTTTGTACTTGAAATTAGCTATTGGGCATGTATTTGCAATAAACATGATATATCTTTCCAGTAAATGCTGCATCGTACCGCAGCAAGCCTCAGCCGACCTCGGTGCTCTTGGGCGGCAGCGCTACCTTATCTTGTGGATTCGATGGGCTGGAGGAAAATGAAGCGGTTCACTGGCTCGGCCCTCCAAACCTACACTACATATCCGAGGGAACGTCAGTATCTGGAAAGTATCCAAGGATGTTTATCACTGGTGAAGGCAACTCAGGCGACACCACGGGCGTGTATAACCTCAACATCAGGGATGTCAGACTGGAAGATGAGGGTGTTTATCGGTGTAGCACCTTTTCACTGAAGGACCCAGAGGATGTCAAACTCACTGTCATAGGTTAGTGTACAGGCATCAATATTCTTACCGCCCCCTAGAAGGCGATACATGATACTTTATGTTCGTGCACTGATATGGCTAAAGTAGTTCTAACCTTTTAGGAGAAGCAATTACATCTTGGAACAATGCCCATGTGAGCCAATTTATACTGCCGGTGCTTTATCACAAACATTATCAATGATGTGTTAAGATAACTAGAAATGTTACACTTGCAAAGCAACTACATAATGTTTACCTTCGCATATGGTTTGCTCTGTTGATTCTTACTCAAATACATTATATATGGTCAGACAGGAGTAAATCGGTAATATAAAAATTGCAACAATATGAATCCCAACACCAGTTACCATGATGAGAGACGTCAACAAATCAGGTCTCCGATCAGGTCAGAGGTCAGTGTTTGGAACGGAAGAAGAGGAAATGCATCAAAAACAATATGTTTTCCTTCGGTAAACATTAATTTACTAATTGCAAATATGCAAATAGACATGTGATTTGCTTATTTCTACTAAACCCCGACCTGATGATGATGATTTCTGCACTTTTACTAGTACCACCAGTGAGGCCTCCCATTATCATGGAGAGGTTTGCAAGCCCCAGAGTGGCAGGACAAAGTCTACAGTTGACCTGCCGTTCTGAAGGAGGTCGCCCGCTGCCCTCACTGGCGTGGTACAACGGTACAACCCGGCACTCAAGATTCGCACACGCCGCAGGATCTGTGGATAACGATATGATAGAATATGACATGTACGTGCCATTCTTAACAAAGTGGGACAATGGCATAAACATGACCTGCGTGGCCGACCAAGGTTTACCCTCATTAGTGATGCCACAGAGGACCTCCATCACCATGAACGTGCTTTGTAAGTAAGGCAAAAAATGTTGTACTCAATTATGGAGAGTGGGCATGTAATTTAAGAGATAGTATTAAAGCTTTTATGTTCTTCAGACCTTGACCTTAACCACAAGGTTATAGACATACTGTCGCCACGAATATTTTTGGAAGAAATTATCGTGGGCAACTGCTATTTTGTAGAGTACAAAAAATCAAAAACGAGCTGCATGCAACCATATATGAGCCTTTCATAAAGAAAAATGGTTCAAACAAACAAACAAACAAAAAAAACAAACAAAAATAAACAACCATTACTATCCATTGTCTCAATGAAAAGCGACCTGCATGCAACCTTATATGAGCCTCTCATATATAAAAAAATGGTTCAAACAAATGAACAAAAAACAAACAACATCTTGCTCTCACGTGCACCGCCACTTGAGATACTATGTAATTCTCAGGCACAGAAAGCACCATATAGCTATCATGTGTAGGTATTGTGGAAGTGCGTAGTCATAATTTTGCCATATTTGACCACATCAGATCCTCCGAAGGTGTACGTCCCGCAGTCTTACTTCAGAGTACGTGAAGGTGAGCCGGTAAACTTGACCTGTACTGCCGAAGGGAACCCCGTGCCTGTAGTAACGTGGAAGAGGTTAGGTGGCGCTCATTGGCGGGGCAACAATGACAGGTTTGCCAGACAATCTCTAACGGAAGAAATGGTTGAAATATTTCTTACATTTCAACATTTATCACATAGAATTACGCTAGTCTCTATATGCTGCTCACGTCGTATCACTTTTGGACCGTTGTCTCGGCAATTTGGAATGCCAATGCTACCCGGTTCATATACCATTAGATAAACCATCCATGAGCGGTAACATTTCCATACATCTAGAGAATTCCTCTTGCTCGCTACATTTTTCTTCCTACGACAATGTTCTTGTTCGAGTTGTTGAATCCAATAGGCTTTCTACATGTATTAAAAAAGTGTTTGCCATCTCAATGGGTGGCTATAATATGCTGTGTATATTACAGGGGACACTCGGATATAATCAAGGCAGTGTCAAGGTCAGATGTGGGAACGTATCAGTGCAAAGCCGACAATGGCATCCCTCCTTCAGACGTAGGTTCCATAAGACTGGACATCTTGTGTAAGCATATTCCTTTGGACTATTTTTAGACCTTAAACCTTAGGTTTACACCAGATTCAATGTGAAGTAATATACGTAATAGTATACTGAATTCGAATTTTACTTAGCATGAATCATAAAATAATAATTATTATCATTTTTTTTCTAGTTACTATCCCTGAGCTAGTGTATTTTTAAAATTGTTATTACTATTATTGTTTTATCATTAGTATTGTTTCAATTATTGCTTTTGGTCGATTTGTTAGCAATGATTCGTTATTTCTCGCTAAGTCTTTGTGTTACTTTATTATCTTGCGTTACCTTATTTTTTTTATCTCATAATTAATATTTTTATAATTATTACTATCAATGTTACAATTATTTTTTTTGTTTTTCTGTTTGTATTTGTCATTTCTTGTGAAGTCTTCCTGTTATTCTATCTTAATTTGGTCAGGGAGCATAAAAGGATACTCCTGGTCGTTTACGTGTATGTAATAAACCTGAAATAAATAAAAAAAAAATTATGTCATAAAGTGCATTGGTATACTTCCATACCTTTCCAGATCCTCCATCAATTCAAAAAACCTTTGATGAAAAAGTCAACGTGCTTTACGACAGTGAGGAAGAGTTTTTCCTGGAATGTAAAGCCGACGGAAATCCGACGCCCCGTGTAAGGTGGAGACGGAAGAACACAGACCTGTACTTCAACAACCCGTTACGCTTCTCACGTCTGGACTATCAAACAGAAGGGACGTACGAGTGCGTGGCGGACAGCTTGGCATTTTCAGAGAGCGTGAAAGAAGCAGTGATAGATGTCATTGGTACGTAGCTACATTTTTTATCTGATAGTTTTCTTCAACCACTGAGTTAAATACTACTTTTAATAATTCAAGATCTGCTTTGTGTAGTAGATATAGATAAATGTTTCTGGTCCAGTTATGATCAGAAAGTAAGTTGCAACTGCCATTATAAATTGCATATGATAGCATATGATGTGTTTACTGACTTTAATCATGCATATTACAGAAAGTTATTAGTTCTGAGTATGTTCAACAATTTTTTATTGACTATCTCGTTTATTTTCTTGTCATGATATAATCATGATATATCCTAAATCCCATTTTTTAAATTTGGTAATTTTTATCTACTCCGTGTGTTTTCGTATAGTTATCAGAATGTAAATGTTGGCGCAATTCATGTTTAATTCCAATGATCATGCCAATGCCAGTATTAATAAAGCTGACTTTGAATCTGAATATAATCAACATCAATCAATCAACTTGAAGCCGTTGGCTAAATTATGGCTTGCTGTACAATTTGGTTTCTTAACAGTTCTGGCAAATTAAAATTGATAAGTTATTCGATAAAATCCATATCATTACACACTAATTACCTAAATATAACAGTTTAAAGTTCAAAATTAAAAAAAATATATTACATCTAACGCCAATGTCACCCCAACTCTATTACTACTCAAGGTAGACCAGACATTCGTGGAGACCCCGAGACTGCACACGCCACACAGGGGAGCTCAGTCACGCTGCTATGTGAGGTGACCTCTGATCCGCCTCCTGATAGCATCATCTGGTCCTGGCGGAACCCTGAAGGTCGGGAGATTACACTAACGGGAGGCTCTGTGGACGGACTCACAATCAGGGGGAAGACTACGGATGACTACACGGAGAGTTTGATGATACTGGATCACGTCAGCAGTGCGAGCTCCGGGGATTACATATGCAAGGCTACAAACATGTTTGGATCGGACTCGAGGGAATTTCGAGTAATTGTGACAGGTCAGTATAACGTAACCGGCAATGAGAAGACTCAGTATTCATGGCCATGCATACTTAGATTTATTCATAAACTCCTCTTTAAAAGGATTCGTCGTTGCTACTTACTCGACCCTTTTGGTGACTGCTTTCATTAGTTGAATTTTGATGATGATGGCTGGTTCTTTCTGTCTAAATATCTAGGAAGGTTGTCCTCCCCTGCAAGCCAATCCTTGATCTGCATGACCTACTATAGAATTTTACTGACAGCCTTAATAACCAGACTCATTATAAACTGATATGATAAACACAGGCCAAATTAAATCATGATAGGTGGATTCAACTAAAATTTTGAAAGGACGGATATTAAAATCATTTGTCTTAACCCAGATGTTGATATGTTATATTGCGTATAATTACTCTGTTTCTTTATTGCCTAGGGCCACCCGTCATCATGATTGCAGTTGTTACCGGTGTTCTGGTGGTATCAATTCTTCTGACACTGGTGGCTATCATCTTCATCATAAGGAGAAAGGATCTTATCTGCGGCAAGAAAGAGAAAGGCAAGCCAGCTCTTACTCTTAAATGACATACACAATATACTATATACATAATTATACTTGAATGACACCTGGCCTTCCAATTATACATGTATCACGAACTTGTTATGTGTCAAACGTTATGTATTTTATTGTATAGGTAATTTTATAATTATGACTCAACTTAGTCATGTATATGTCTATGTCCGTATGTATAAAGTTTAACGTATGTGGGGCCTGATATCAGCCATGGCTTCCAGGGCATCCATTGTATTGCGATGTTTGCAATTGTAATAAATAAATAAATAAATAAATAAATAAATAAATAATTAATTAAATAAATAAATAAATAAATAAATAAATAAATAAATAAATAAATAAATAAATAAATAAATAAATAAATAAATAAATAAATAAATAAATAAATAAATAAATAAATAAATAAATAAATAAATAAATGATATATGCGTTTGAAACATCAACATTATTTTGTTATATCATTACCTCAACATTTGTCATATCAATGATCGCTAAGGGGAAGTAAAATCTAGAAAAAAACTTATTAACATATGTTTTATGTTTTGTTTCTGAAAATATTAACGCTTGTAATTAACACGTATTTGCATGTGATGATATGCACATTTTCCAGGAAAAGATTGTAAAGACGGTCAGCCAAAGCAAGTGAACCTTGAACCATCCGACATAAACCTGGATGTTCTGGAGGCAGCGACCAAACCCCTTCCTCCACCCAGGATGGCCAAGGATCCGTATGCTATAGGGATATCATATCCACGTAGGTGTAACACTTTTGAATCAATACTCAGATGACGAGAAACCATAACAAGTAGTCATAGGTGACAATTCTCCGTGAAGTTTATTTTGCAGATTTGGAACAATAAGATGTTTCTGAAATATGCATTTACTTCAATATTAAACTGCTATGGTGAAAATAAAACTATGTACATCATCACGGGCATACATGCAGACGACGTATAGAATTACATGCCGATTAAACAATATTATGGGAATCCTATGTTTGAGCTACGAACAAGAAAAACGGACGGACCACAATACTCCTGCAGGAGGTACATTCTCGTTCACGGAGTAAATATACAATATACGACAATGATGGATGGAACTTTTAGCGTATCAAACTAAGGTACGTACGGTACTACTTTGAGTTTTTCTGGATAATCTTGCCTTCCTTATGCACAGGTTTAGCCGTCCCTGCGCACAGCTATCCAACATCTGACCGAGGGAGTCGGAGTGAATGTAAACATCAGTCTCCACATAAGTACAGGCACAAAGGATCTCGCCCTCAAGAGGTATGGAGAATTAATGGTCTAATCTGCTGTGATACTTCAAAGTGCAGTAGATACGAGACCTCTAATGCAGAGTTTTTGGATGCACCAGTGACATTTATGGAGGAGACGTTTCAAAGCAATATTGACCTTGCTGCAGTTTAGGTCACGTTGCACAAATATGTCTTACAGCCAAACAAAGAAAATAAAAATACCGTATGCGCACTCTACATCGGCCCGCTGTCGCCTCCGGTATACATTCGACCGTTATAGTTCTGCGAAAAACAGCATAATAGAATCCAAGTTACTCACGACCCCTTGAAACTAAGGGTTAAATGGATTGCAGATTTGATGCTATATATAGAATTCAGCTGTGGACTGAGCCAATAGATGACATTGCTTGTAAACTAATCGAACTACTGGTGGGATGAATCATTGCTATTTTTTCTCTCTCTCTGGTAGGAGATTGAAAAAATTGAGCGGGAATATCGAGCCCCTCGCTGGCAGCTGCTCTCTGAGAGAAAAGACGTCCATCAGTACGACGACGCCGTCGGGGAATTCGAGGACTACCACGGAGTTGGAAGATACTGATGCTTCACACCTCCATGTACATGTGTATAGTGTGTAACCCATGGTGACTATGATTATGAATTCCAGATGCGTGCATATTCTATGTGGAGCAGAAAATCGTTGGTGCATGAAGTGTGACAGCATTGATGACGACTGCTGTCTTTAATATCGTTGGACTCATCTGTTATGTCCTATAGATAACATGACGCTGTGCTTTTTTATTTCTGTGATATTTATTACTGATGAAGTAAAGTTTGGTCACACACACACATTCCGTTGCAATATTCTAGTCATGTCCGTCTATCTCGGTGAAATGAAGACCATCCACGTCACGTCAAACCAGGTCAGCAGCGGTGATGGGTCAGGCTTTGCGGCACGTTGTTTGCGCTCGGCCTATCTATCTGCCTTCATCAGTGGCAGCTCTAATCCTATACTACAGGGGCTCCGGATGGGACAAGGCGGTGGCAATTAGCTCGCTTTCCAATGAGCTTATCCCGTGCGTTATGATCTACTTTTATTGAACGCCTTCAGAGTAACCGTAAATGTGTTTGGGGCTACCCCGGTTTGCCATATAATGGACAATATGATAGACAACCAGCTCGAATGCATTCTTCGTGTATGTGTATTCTTACGTACGTGCAGTGAGTTGGAGGAAAATATAGAAATCCTAACAACTAATGGCGGCTTCAACTTTTTTCTGCAACCTGAATGGCAACTGCTCCAACGCTTGGATATGGACTCACAATTCTCCTTGAGTTGACAAATAGCACGCAGCACAATGTGCCGACCGTAGATGAACTCCCACACTGATGTTGAAATATTGCTTGATATTTGGCAATCTTGTCTCCATGTATTGAAATATGGAAGTGAAATTCAAACACACAATGTATTGGACGATCAAGTATTATTTACTTTTGTAACCTCATTGACCTACAAATACATGTAAAGGTAAAAACAGGTATTCCGGACTTGTCCTGTAGATAAAGGTATTAAATGTCTTTACCACAACCGTTGTCAAGTGTTTTAATTAACTGCTATACAAATTACATTAAAAATGTTAAATTTCTCAGAGGCTATATTCTCCTCAGTAAGTATTCAGATGCCACAAAGCAACACAACACAACATATAGATCTGGGCATTGCTTGACATGCGTGGACTTCCCAGATAAGATATTTGATACACAAGTTTGGAAATATTCTAACCCCATGCGACATTTAAAACATGTATATTTTACTGCAAAGTGAACATGAAAATAAGATAGCATCCGGTATCTCTTAGATCGATTTCTACTCGACCATACAACTAAGAATAATATCTCAAGTATTGACATTACTACGTGGGATTTCAAGTGAAAAATCGATTCTGAACTACAAATATAGAATTTGACCCCTCGTGTGCGATGCTTGAAATCATGTAATATTAGGTTACGTTCCCACGAGTTTTCCTTCGAAAAGGAAATCAATCAGGTGTACCTTAAAGTTTATTTGATATCTGGTTTCGTTTTCTTATCAGTACCCCTCCAGGAAAATATTTGATACTCAAAGTGATTACAAGAAAATATCATTTTCCAAAAGCTTCAAAACCTGTACGTCACTATTTATATTAAGGCTGTATCATTTAATGAACTAGCGTCTAGATGAATTGAGTTCGAAATTCATGATAACGTTATGCACGTGTGCAGTTCATGATAACGTTATGCACGAGTGCAGTTCATGATAACGTTATGCACGTGTGCAGACAAAGGTAAAGTGTTTCCAATATGTAACTTGCGGTGCACAAAATAAATTCCTTCCGTCTAGATGCTTACTCGGTATTGACGTGAATAGGTCAAGAGAACAAGAAATTATATAGTAGGTGACATTTTGTAAAGTGATAACATAAAGATAACATAGTAAGAGGTATATTTCTTACAGGTCCAATATCTGATGATGAAAGATAAGTTTAATCCTGATAAAGTTTTGATAACTGGCTGTTACGTCTAGCTACTAATGTAATACAGAATGCCCATTTACCTTTACTCAATTACGATATTATCAATTAAAACGGCGTGTGCCCATGTGTACGGAAGATTCAAAGACCCATTAACGTAAGCCCTAATTTTTCCAGTCTCTATAGTCGATTTTGTTCTGTTGGTACGCTGAAAGTCTTTTAACTTGATCACGTGGCCTTAGATCTCCTTAGTTTTAGTTTAGAATTGCTACTTTGTGATTTATCGTTGATGACGGCGACCGTTTAGTTCATATAAATGTGTAGTATTTATTTCATATTTTCAAGTAACCACCCAAATCCACATTCTTAGTCTGAAGAATCGTGAAGTATGTTCCCGCTTGTGGCTTTGGTGTCGTTCAGTCGCGCCATAGATATTAAGACTTATCTACTTTTGCAGCCACCAACAAATAATGGCCGGTGCCGAAAAGAAAGTTTGTGACAACATTATTCTTTACCGTAATGACTCCTGTAGACGTCATCCAATACTTCTAGATAAATATACTCATTTAATATAGGGTATGACGTTCCTCTATATTCAGTAGCAATTAGAAATAAATTAACAACGTATATCATTCTTTAAACGACTCCGCAACTCAATAAACTTCTTTCAAAGTTCTTGTTATTGATTTGATATTTATGCCAACTTCCTAGACGTTGGAATATTCCTAACAAACTCTGCGGATAGCTGAGTAAGCTGGATTTTCTGCCATAAAATAAACATAGAAAGTATAGCTATGTGTTCCGTACAATATTAATATGAAAATACGATAACTCAGTTAAGCAGTTTTGCCAAGACATTGCAACAGCATGATCCTGGGTTTAATACTCTAATAATGAATTAAAGCACAAGGACATGTAAATGAAGTCAAATGCACGAGTGCAGATCCAGTTAAACAAATATGTCTGCCAAAAGAAGAGAATACATTAGGTTACATATAACAATGGCTCTCAAAAACACATTACCGTCCATCTGGGCAGCCCTGAGTGCTGCAGCTGGACAGAAATGACTGGAATGTTGGGAGGGGGCATGACAGAATAGTCAACAAAAGAAAATGACACATCAGCCACAGAAATCAGCAACTAAACTGTCAACTGGAACAAAATCTAACGCTAAATGCGCAGATGGTGAAGCAATTTTGAACTATCCAGGGCAAAGGCGACCACAGACCCATGTAAACACACACATTCCGTTCACAGATGCACTGGCGCGAAATCCCACGGATGACCGAAGCACTCTCTTTGTATCCATCTGCAACAACACCTTGTTGGCCTCCAGCCTAAAATAAAGAAGAAGCATGAAAATTTAGTTTGCTGTCACGTCGCTATCATCGTTGTAAATTAAATAAAACAAGAACATACATTTCGACAGTCTGTTGTATAATGTTGTTTAGTTGTAGGAAGGTACTATTTTCTGTCGGCGCACGGGTACGTGCTCTTCCATGCATACTCCGCTTTCGTGCAGTTTCGCGCCAGTGCAGCTGTGAACGTCGCTGACAGAATGTGTGTGTTGGCATGGCTCTGTGCTCGTCTGCATCCTGGGTGGTTCAATATTACTTCACCATTTGTTTAATTTTGTGTAACATTTTGTGGCAATAAGCAGATAGTTTGGTTGGCTTGACTGTACTTAGTATATTGTGACAGAAGGGGGGAAAATGTCGCTTTTGTGAGGGTTTATGGTTCCCTTGTTTTGTTGTTCAGTCATGCCCCCTCCCACATTTAACGTCATTTCAGCCCAGGGTACATGGTACAGGGTCTCATGTCACATCTCTATTATGTCGAAGTCTTTGGCGTAGTCTCATGTCCCATCTTTAGTATGTCAAAGTATTTTAACTATAGGTTAGCCATATCTAGACGTATCTGAATTACCATGCTCCCCATTATCTGACTAGTATTTTGGCAGGGATTTTTGGGTTGTTTGGTTGGATCTGCGTGTGGCTCTCGAAGCTCACGGGGTTAACTTCATTATATTACATGTTCAAGTAGATCGACGTTTAAATCATAAAACACAGAACTAAACTGTTCCGCCTTGTTGGAGAAGCTTTTGAATTATTTTATCTTCAAATCTATATGATATGGGATAATGGCGACAGAACAGGACTGGTACATACCTTTGTTATTTTTGTTTATTTTCGATGGCAGAACATCCAGTTTACTCAGGGTGGTTAGTCAGGGCTATTTCAAAAGCTGACCAGCCTCTTGGAAACCCAGACTTCGGGGACTGATGCTAGGCACAGTTGGGACTGGTTCAGCTTAGTTAGATGGGTTCACTGGATGTGTACGCCGATTTGTTGTTTTTGATCTTTTGTAGTTGCTCTTGTTGCCAGAGTCCTTTCTCCAATTCTAGTATCACCGTTGCACGTTTGCATTTTGCTTATTTTTCACCCGTACATTGAACTACTATGCCATGACAAAGCCTTTGAAGATAATAATGGCAAAAAATGCGTAACCCGTTGAGGTCAGCTCAGATTTACCACACGCCCACCCTAGAGGGCCCTCTGCTATCGTCTTCAGAGAGGGTTGATGGTTTCTGATGAATATGGCCTCCAACACACGTCTTACGAGTTAAACCCGTTCATTACCCAAAGGAATGAGATACATTACTTGCGAAGTATCAAGTTTTAAACTTTTAATACGCATCGTAACGACACGGCCGAGTTTTCATCCTAATATCTTTCAACTTGAAACTTTTTGGACCAGACAGACGGCATGGGATAACTTGTGAGTGTCATAAATCAGACATATAAGATTTCTCTTTATCTCTCACGTCCGCCGAGGAATCACACGAACTCCTTTGTAACGAATTTTCAATATCTTCTCTTAATGTCTTGAGCCGTCGCTCAGGAGAATTCATCCCGTTAAAATGTTACATTAGGCGGTCGAACAAAGTACATCATCGGTGACAGCTATGGGATTAAACCTCAGATTGAAGCGATTACTCAAACGCTTTGTCATGTTGAGCACTTTTGAGGTTTCGCGGTGGAATTAGGCTATGGCTGTCTGATCGATTGTCAAATGAAATAATGTTTCTTTA